CAAAGAATCAGATGCGAAAGAGTATATATGAGTCATTGATTTGAAGCCCAGGGAGAGGAAGTGCATAATATTGGGGAAATTGGCAGATGGATGATGAAATCTTTATTAAAAATGACGCAACACCACCAAAAGTCTACGAACTACCCTAAATACTCATGAAAATCCGCTATGATTAAGAGTAAAACAATAACCATGGAGCAACACACAAACTAGCAAAACTCATTTGCTTGAAGCTCAAGAATGTAAATGACAGACTCTCGAATTCTGTTAAGAATTCGTATCAATTTTCTCAAAGGATCCAAAATACTGGAGTGGCAGGGACTGAAATGTTGGTAAGTTTTGAAGTACAATCCATGTTTACAAACGTATCCGGTGAGAATGTGGTAAGCGCCTCGCTGGAGATATTGCAGCGAGAAGAGGATATCGTGGAGGCAGAATGGATACGGAAGGAATCGTTAACACGATTGATCAACCTGATGGTAACAACCACCTATTTTACATCTAACGGCAGTATCTACGAGCAAATATTTGGACTACAGGTGGGATCTCCACTCTCACCTCCTTGACAAATGCATGTATGAACAAATTGGAAAGGTAATTCGAGAAGTCATCACTGCAACTAAGATTGCTTATGCGATATTTGGATGGCCACTTTACACTTTGGTTACATTGTAAAGAAAATTCAAAAGAATTCCTCAATTTTATTAGCCAACTTGATTAAAGATTTTAATTCACGTTGAAGATGGAGGAAGATAAACTACTAGCCCTCCTGGATATTGATGTCATACGCTCCAACGGGACATTCATGAGCAGGCTATTCGGGGAAGAAAATTATATTCGGGAATAATCCATAATTTTCAGTCTCACCATAACTAAAGACTGAATTTGATCATCATTAGCTTACCACTAACAGATACTGGGTTCTTGGGCAAGATGACACGGATTTGCCTTAGTAATGGGTAGCCCAGATAATTTTTAGAACAAAAATGTAGAGGTTATAAAGGGATTTATGAAAATCAGATCAGGAATCAGGACGGAAAAAAGTGGATGTGCCTGCCTTCCTGTGAACTGAGCCAAAAATTCCAACCGTTAATAAGGAAATGGAACGTCAAGATGATAACAAAGGAGAAGACAACACGTTTTACGAGTCTGTCGACGCAACACGAGAAGACTGACAAACTGGATTGCTCGGGAGTTTATCACATCAATTGCGGCAACTGTGAGCTTATGTATATCGATGAAACAGGATGAAAAATCGGCCTACTAATCAAGGAATATCGAAGATTCTGCAAGAAAATGGATACGGAAAGATCCGAAATAGTGGAAATCATTGCATGAACGGGACATGCAATCCATTGGAAATCGACAGAAAGACTTGTTGCATATTGTGAAAACATGAAAAAGCGCAGGATCCGAGAGACCATCAATATAATCACTTAAAGAAATCTAATGAACAGCAGACTTGAAGAGTCATATTACCTAAACAAACTCGGAGAAGACAAGGCAACAGTAAGATCAGCAAAAGGAAGACGACTGGATCAAGGTAACATCTTTTATTTTAGCAAAATAAATCTCTATGAGACCAGAAAGGAACAATCTGAAACCATTAGGAAATGTCTACAAGGAGCCTAATCAAAACACGTAGAACCACATTACTTGTGTGTTGGCATACGGGAGATTAGGGCATAGGAAGTCAGAGAATTGACACTGGTTAGAAGCACGATAGATGCGGCGGATACTAGAGCTAGTTGGCTAACAGTAGGCTTATTTGATCGTAGGCATGGTCCATAAAGCAAAGGTTTGGCGATGAGAATTACTCGGGCTTTTTAGTCTCAAGTTGATCCCCAAGAGGCAGCCTGGGAAATAAAGCTTCGAGTAGTACAGATAGTGGCAGGGGTCGAGTGGAATACTTGAACCAGGGAGATAGCAGACGGATCCTACGAGGCTAGATGGAGGCTTATAAGACCTATGGAAGGAGGACTGTGAAACAATATGGCAGATTGATCAACATTCCCAGCACACGGGTGGTGAGGGGGTGAGAAAGTCAGCTTGAAGAGTGGAGAGTTCTCATGAAATCCGCGTAAAAGGGTACGCCATACCACATTTAAATAAACAAAGGAAAAAATTGTGGTAGCGTCGAAGTGATACGAGGATATAGGATTGGTGATTAGCCCAGGGAGAAAGGAGAGATACCACGATTGTTTGGCAGAGATTTGGTGAAAGGATCGGCTTCACATCTCTCTTTGACGAGTAGTAGTGTGGTCCTCAGACTGTCAATGCACACTATCGATGCTGGTGAAGAGTATGGGAATGTCCCACCTCAACGGTCCGTTTCTGGAAATTATCCTGATCACTATTGACTCCGGACTAGGTGGTTTCCTCTAAGTCTTCCTATCAATATTACCAAGTTATAAAAACAAGGTCAAACAACTTCTATACAACGAAAAGCTACTGCGACCATTCGAAAGGTCACGCCATCTTCGTCTTCATACCTTCGATAAAAGTATATTACTCAATATACGAATCTCCTGGTCCATATGGTTTACATTTTCTAGACGATGACTCCTTATCATAAAATTCCTCCTTATTTGACTCATGTATGGTTGGAGAAGAAATCAATTAGGAGACGCGCGTGTTTAGGTTTCCTATACACTTGCCTACCTAACTTATTACCTTCTTTGCTCACTTATAGATCCAAAAAAGGCAATTTTTTCCTTTTCTAGCTCCATGCTAAACCTAGTATTTTCATCTATTCTTTTTATTAACCCAAGTAATTTCCATTACTATCTTTGCTGTCTTCCCAAACAGCATTGTATTCGTCTACATAACGAAGTAGTTACTTGGGAATTAGGAAACACACGAACTTCTCATTGGGCCATGTAGTTATTAGGTAAAATATGGGCTAAAAAGTTTTCATAGCCACGCTCTGTGTTTGCTCATACAACTTAGCATTGATGGTAAAATATTTATTATACCTTGCCAAATTGATTAATCTAATGATCGAATCCTTGCCTAATATTTTACCTGTTGTTACTTCAGGATGTTAATCCAGAGTTACTTTCAAGGCCTTCATTGCTTCGCTTATCGGAATGTTAGTTTACATAGACACCACATCGAAACTTTCCAGCGAATCTCTTCTTTCTATCGTCTGATCATCAATTAATTTAATAAAATCGTAGGAGGCTTTATTGAAAACTTCCAAACTTGGGAGATTTGCTTTAACTGAGTACATACAAATCGTGACATTTTATGCATCACACTACCTCAATTATTTACTATAATCCTAAATGAAGTACCTTGCTTATGGATTTTGGACAGGTCATACGCACTTAAGCTTCTAGTATCTCGCTAGAGAAGTGCACTCATTTTCCACTTTTCCAGTTCTCTACTGTGTATACATTGTTGCAGAAGACTCCTAAGTAATGATCCCTAATTATAGTTTATATTTTGTATCATCATCTAATGCTTCTAACATTTTCTTTACCTAATCAGTCTTATCATTAACTACTACTGCTCCTCCTTTATCTTTTCTAAATATTAATTGCTCATTTGCTTTAACCTGCCTTATAACAATATTAACTGTCCTCTTATATTGTGTTTCTCCATGACCATCAATTAAATGGATAAATTGTTATTCAATGTCATTCCTAGTATCTTTTGGGAACTATCCGTTAAACCAAATCATGGGTTGCCTCATTAAGATCGCGATGTTAGGTATATAAAATAAGCGAACAGTGTTGCAACCGGCCACCCTTTCTCTTTGTTTGGTATATTTTTGTTCTATTTTGTCAAGTATGGATATCTCCTCTGATGATTTCTGTCACAGTACAGACGAAAGCCTTACACAGTTTCATCAGTTTCGCAGGACGACGAGACAAAGATTTTTTCGAATTAAGTATTGTTTTCGTGACTACCAGTGAATCAGTAATATGAGATTTATTCACCCAATTTCGTTTAAGGTGATGAAGGATCGGTAGAAGATTGTTGTAGCAAATATACGTTTGCTTCATCAACAACCCCACCAAAGAATATGACATGAGAAAAGGCCTGGCCTTCCTTGAAATTTACATTTGTCCTGTGATCCAAAGGGCACTCGTGGCAATGTGGCAAAGTGGTTAGCGTGTCAAGCTCCCATTCTGCACTGTCACAGTTCGACTCCCGCTGAGGGTGTTGATAAGACCGATGCGAGGTCGAAACTGCAGTCCACTGGTGCCTGTATGAGAACAACTTCTGGGAAAGCAAGGCTCAATGGTAGTGTGCATAGGACTAGGTATATTCCACAAGGCTTCCCTTACGCTCCGACCAGATTGCGAAAAAGAGGTCGGATCATCATTATGAAGCTAAAGGAGACTGCGACCAAATAGAAGGCCGCATTATCTTGGTCTTAATATTCACACATATTCTACACTTTAGCGTCATTTTTTATCTAATTTTTATTAAATTTATTCCTATTCGCTCTGATCGACTTATCGTCCATTGTGATTGTTTTTTATTTCTCCCGTCATTACAGATTTCCTCCGGCCTTGCCGATAGTAATCCTCTGCGTCCTACATCGCAAGCTGCGAACAAAGCTCAACTAGTGCATCCGCCTACGGGTAAGCAGCAAATTAAACAATTACGAAAATTGAAAAAAAGCATCTGAATGTATTTATTATTGATAGTTTAACTTGATAATAGATCTTCTTTTTAGTTAATTAGGTTTTAATGCTAATTAATTAAGCATGATATCAATCATATTTTTCATCTACCCTATGTTTCTATCCAAGTCTTCTCATTCTATATATATATATATATATATATATATATAGAACCTTTGGAACTTCGAGTTCTGGCTCATGAACTTGACACCCTGAAGTGTTTATAATCTTTTTTATTTCTTCTTTGACCAAATTTGAGCCATTATTTCCTCATAACAGAATAATGGTTCTTGAAAATCAGACTTTTTTTCTCAAAAATATGCCATTTA